TAACTATAGTATTTATAATAGCCGATACAGTAGCTGTATTTGTTTTATGCGGTTGGGAATTAAATATTCTTGAAACAATTATTATTATTATGAGTGTTGGTCTAAGTGTAGATTTTAGTAAGAAATTTTTCTTTTTCCTTTTTTTTTCTTTTTTAATGTCGTTTTTTATAATAATTTAGCCGTACATTATGGTGTTGCTTATATTAAAGCAGATTGGAAGAAAAATCAAACTTATATTAAACGATCATCAAAAGGATTAAAATTACTTGATAATAATTATAAAGAAAATTTTCAAATAGATAAAACTAATGTAAATAATGAACATTCAGATAACAAAGATACATTATTTCAACGTATTAAAAAACGACATCAAAACGGAAATACACAACGTTTTCGTCGAATTAAAAATAGTCTTATTCGTGTTGGCTCAGCTGTATTTATAGCTGGTTTTACATCATTTCTTGCTGGTTTATCAATGGCACCAAGTAAATTAACATCATTTTCACAAATGGGATTTTTTCTCATGTTAATTATGTTTATAAGTTGGTTATTTGCAACATGGTTTTTCTTACCATTACTTTCATTTATTGGACCAATTGATAGATTTGGTGACATACCGTAAGAAATCAACATAAACCTACAGTGAACATTTTCTGTCTAGCATATTGACATGACGTGCTTTCTATCAAGAACGATTTTTTTTCAATAGAAATATTAGTTTCTTGTACTCAAAAATAAGATCGATAAAAAGAAGAAGGCCATTTGTCATGGAAAATCCCTGAGATGGGCCATTACCTTAAATTCCTGTGACGAACTTTTTATATTAAAAAGATGCAGTTTTTCAACGCTGTTTCCCAATGGGTCTTTATTTTTTTCTCAAAGTGTTTGTGTGATAAAGAAATTCCAAAGAACCTTTCAAAATTAAGGTTTTTAGAAAACCTGTATTTCAGTCCAGAAGCATTTGTGCTACTTGAGTATATGTTCAACATATAGAAGAAAATTTTCTGAAAGTTTCATCGATATTAGATAAGTGGAAAGAAGTGACAATCAACTTTACTGAAAACATCTTTTCGAAAAACGTTTGGTAAAAGAAGAAGAATTATTTTTTTTCGAACAAAAGTTTATCTTATAAGTCGATACAGCAAAAGTTCTAGTTTCAGAATATATATGATTTATTGTCGAATTCTTTAAAGAAATTGTGCTTTTCTCTAAAAGTTCTGACATTTGACTTTTTGTACGACTAAGTTTTTCCAACGAATTTACCAGCTGCGACAAATTTTTTTGGGTTACGGCCACTTGCCTGCAGAACAGTTGCCCGCCGGACAGATACCCGCAAGACACTTGCCCGTGTGATACGTGCCCGCAATGGACAATGTTGAGGGTGAGGATGCGGGCAAGCATCATACGGGCAAGTGTCTTGCGGGGATCTGTCCGGCAAGCATATGTTCTGCGGGCAAGTGGCCTAGATTCATTTTTTTTTCCAAAAAAACTAATCGTCGATGAAAATGTATAAGTTACTATTCAAATCTCGAAAAAGCTCAATGTCAATTTTTTTCATTTAATGTCTATGTTGTTGTTCACTGTGAAATCTCTGCTTAATGTTGATTTTTATTTCATTTATTAGATTTGGTAAAATATGTCGATGTAATAAATTATCATCATCAACTGTAAGACAATCAGTTCCAATAAATGATACTGAAGAAAATATAAATGAAGAACGAAGTTTAAAAAATGAAATCAAATGATGCAGAATCTGTTAAACATATATATATTTATTTATTTATTTACTTAAGATACCATTTGTCTTTCGTTAATCTCGAATTAAAAGAAACAAAATAAAACGGAAATATTTGCATCTGAATATATATATGTATTTTAAAAAAAACCTCGGGTGCTCATTGTTTTTTATTTGTAATGAAATCAGATATTCATATATTTCCTTTGATGTTTTTTTTTCTGCATTTTTTGCGTTTATTTGACATTCATTAAATATATGTTTTTGTTTAATGAGAATGTTTTTATATCAACATATCTGTATCGTCATATAGAATTCTTTTCTTTTTTTGTTTTTGGTTTTCGTTTAATTAAATCAGTGTCGTGTGTTCAGAATGAATAGTTTCATTTTATCATATCTAGATATTTTGTTGTCAACAGTTGTTCCTCTAGTATTTTGAAAAAAAAAAATAAATATTTTATCATTATTGTAAAAGTTCATTAAATATTCTATGTATATTTTTGAAAATTATTTTGCTATAAGACATAAATGATTTGATGCAGTTTGTTTTAATTTATTTATGATAGACTTAAGTAGAACAGTTATATTCTCATGAGATTGAAATTGTGCATGTATGTTGCATAATTAATGTAAGTAGTAATTTCTTTTCTATTAATATTTATATCATAGATGTTATATTTACTTGATTTTGAAGAAATATTTGACATTGGACAAGAATATAACATTAGTTTTATGCTAATTATATTGTGTGCTTACAATAATATTTTATTGGATGATTGATATTGCTACTAATAATTCATTCAATATAATGATAACGTGCTAGACATTAAAACAATTTATTGACATATTTTTCTATTTCAATAATGTATATTACAAAGATCGCAATTTACTAAGGAAGTACACGAGAATAAAAATGTCCGCCTGTTTGAATTGATCAAGCGAGTGAACAATCTAAGAAATCTAATCGTATCAACATGTTTATACGATGTCTATCAGCATTACCGTGATATACTTATACAGATTATTGATCTTTCCTCTTCTCTTAGTAGGCTCTAATATCTTCTGAAGTATCAATTACTATATCAAGTGATGATGATATATCGAACATGAAAGATGAGTTCTTCAAACAAATAACAATAAAATAAGAATTCAATAAACATGTATGAAATATTCTTAGCTTCAAAAGTAGTACTTCATATGAAATGTCATCATGACTACTTGTGTAAATATTCACATAATAGTGATTATATATTTTTCATAGATTGAGATTTCTTTCTACTTTAATTGAAAAAGATTTCTAGTATTCATGATACTTCAATATATCATAGAATAGAAAAATCAAAGAAAAAAGAAAAAGCCAACAGCACGAATCATGCTTTTTCGTTCTTGTACATATATGCATCGATGTATTACTGTCATACTATTTATGCATGCATCAATATTGTATTTTCTTTTGTCGCTATGCAAGTCATGAAGGTACGAGCATGTCATATGTACTTCTACGTTCGTAAAACTATCGTACTTAAAAAATAGGACGCAGTCTACTATGGTCCTGGTGATTGCTAATACTCAATGTAAACGAATAGAAATACTTTTTAATGAAAAAGAAGACTATTTAAAGAGTAAGTCACTTAATCATTCAATACTAATATCGACAGTTATATTTATCGTTGTATATTTGATCTATCATTTTATTGAATTTGAATATAACAACATAATTCAATTTCATGCTCTCACAGCGAGTTGATACTTTATTTGTCAATTGAATATAGATCAAATTTTTTTAGGAAGTTAAAAGTTCTTTATTTTTGGAAATCGATGAGCGAACAAACAATAAAACGTTGGAACTCTTCTGAAGAAAAACAAAAAATTTTCACGATTAGAAAGAGTACCTTATAATTCTCTACTTGAGAGAACCCTCCTGTGTATAAGACGATAGTATAAAATTTGAAAAATAAATTCATTTATTGAACAACAATTTGAATATTTGACTATAGTATTATAGTACAGATACCAAATATGAGATAAATGTATATCTGAGTCTTATATCATGATAGATGTGACGAATCGACAATCTGTGAAGAATTAATCAATCAAACAAAACAAAGGTCTGACTATCCAATGCATACTTATCTTTATATAAATCAGGATTGAAACTTGTTTGAATGTTCTTTTTGAAAATTATATAAAATGCTTCATGTTTTCATAATAAAAATATTGAATTCATTAAAAAATTTTTTTATACAAACTTCATTAAATCTCATTGTGTTGTGATGGAGATTATATTTGTATAGTGATGTACTTACTGACGCTCTCGTTTAGATTTTATTTCTAGTTGTTATAAATCTTATGTCACAGTATGATTATTTTTCTGACAAATTGTTGGAATGAATTGGCCATAAAATCATTTTTTTTATAACCTGTGTTTAAAAATTAGTTATAGGTTATTGAGTTCAATCGATAATTTGATTCTCATAGTTGATGAAATAATGTTACTAGTATTTGAATCATTTTAGAATTCTAATTACCATTTCATTTTTATATTAAAATTTTCCAATAAAATCTTAACTACGAAAAATATTCAAAGGTGAAAAGAATATCGAATAGCGTTATATTGAAATTAATTATTCATCATTGTTATAATACACAAAGGTAGACAGATAGATAAACAGTATTTTTTCAATCAATATTAGTACAATTTGGTTTTTTTCCTGTAATAACTAGCGTCATCTATTGTGAAATAATCAAAGAAAAAAAAAAGAGCACATCATTTATTGGTATGAAAATTTTCAAGAGTCAATCGATATGCGCATGCTTTCAATGGTATCTATTAGTATTATGTAGCATATCGATTGTAGCGCTACAAATTCAAAGTTTAATATTATACGAATCTCGAAGGTTATCTTGAATTGTTGATTTTTTAATTGGTCAAAATGTTTTTATTCAACCAATAAAATTCATAAATCGGCTAAATATTCATGCTAATTAAATCGCATTTCTGTTGTTTTTTGCTTATGTGTATCTATATATTTGTTTTCTTATAATGTCTTGTATCACTTCATTATTTTATGATTAAATTTTTTCATAAATATTCTTCTCGTAAGTAAACATAAATTTTTATATTTTATATTTTTATCATAATAATTTCTTATTTTTAAAATCTTTTCTATCTAGATTAATACATACGTATAAATATACATATATTTTTTTTTCCTATTGTTTCGTCTAATGTCATAAGACAGTTTGTTCATAAAAAACTTTTTGTATGTCGTCTTCAACAAATTCTCATTATTATTCACATAACAATCATCATCGAACAAGTTCACGTGATACATCCTATTCTCATCATCATCAATCACTTCTGGAATCTGTATCATCAGAATCATCATCACCTGAAAGTAATACAGTAACTTCTGAAAAATATCATCGTTCATCAACAACAAAAAAAAAACATAAACATAATCGACAAAAATCATCTGAACGTAAAACAAGAACCCGTCGTTCATCATCTAGTGATAATAATGAATCTAATCAACATAGGTACAACAAAAAAAGATTTTTTTTAAAATTATATTTCTTTTTTTTTTTTTATACAGTCGAAATTCTCAACGTTCGCGACATGATAATACAATAAATCGAACGTCTCGTAATTCCCAACAAACTTATCATCATATACATTCACGTGAGACAACAAATGAAATATCAACAAATGAAAATAATTTTGATGTAAAAACTAAAAAACGTACACATCATCATACAGATAATAGTAATTATTCACCGAAAAGAAATCGTCGAACAAGTCCATTAACATCATATCCAATGTCAATTTATTCTTCACATCATTATCATCAACATCATTATAGAAGATCAAAATATCATCGAAAATCTTCGTCATCATCATCACATTCAAGTGAACATTCATCATCAAACGAAAATGATAATAATAATCAATATCAACGATCAACAAAAGGAACACTTGCATCCGAACTTGATAAAATAAGACCAAAAGTTAATAAAAATAAAACATTAACAACTAATATTCAAACACAAAGTGAACAACAACAATCAAAACCTGATAATGATGTAAGGATAAGAAAAAAAAATGAACTTGTAGATACATTTTTTAGACTAATCCGATAGAGATGATTCACAAAAATATATCAACGTAAAAGAAGAAAGTATTGATTTGTTTTTTCGAAAAGATTTCAGTAACTGATGGATCATACAAAATAATGTCTAGAAATATATCTGAAGGTGCAGTTCGGAGCTTCACATTACATGAAATATAATTATTTCTTTCATTTGTCATTGCCTTCGTAAAAGATCCAATTCAAATCGTTTGTATTCTTCTTGTATATAGACAAATACAAAACCCACTGATACAACTCCTAATACAAACCGTCCTGAGTAAGTTTCAATTGAATAAAATATATTGAAATAAAGATATAAAATTTAGTTTGACTTCGCGTCGTCGTTCAATAAATGTTCCTCCATCTACTGGACAAACACATTTAACACGTTCATTACCAATGCCACCAGATTATAAACCAGATTCTTTTTCACCATCAACTCCAATAAATACTTCTCCAAATGTACCTGATAAACCAATCCGACGGCCATTGTAAATATTTGAAAAAAGAACCAACAATAAAAATTTCATTGAATGATCTTTTCTTTGTTTTCTTTTTATTATTAAAGAATTCTTCAACGTCGTGATGAAATGATAAAAAATCAATGGGGTGAAAGAACTGTTGAAGTATATGAAATCTTAGCAAAAATTGGTGAAGGTACTTATGGCGAGGTCTTTAAAGCACGCGATAAAATAACCGGTTTGTTTGTTAATAATGTTTTTTTTTGAAAAATTTCTTTTGTAAATAAATTTCTTTTAGGTGAATTATGTGCATTAAAAAAAGTTCGATTAGAAAATGAGAAAGAAGGTTTTCCAATAACAGCTATACGTGAAATACAAATTCTTCGTCAATTGATGCATCCACATATTGTAAATTTAAAAGAAATTATTATGGATGCACGTGCTATAGCTGATATTAAAAACGATACATCATTTTATTTAGTTTTTGAATATTGTGATCATGATTTATTTGGTTTACTTGATTCAGGTTTAATCGAACTTGATATTGAACATATTAGAGCATTTGTTTATCAACTAATGTCTGGTTTAGCTTATTGTCATCAAAGAAAATTTTTGCATCGTGATATTAAATGTTCAAATATTTTATTAAATAATAATGGAAAAATAAAATTAGCTGATTTTGGTCTTGCACGTTTATATAATGCTGATGACAAAGATCGACCATATACAAATAAAGTTATTACATTATGGTATAGACCACCAGAACTATTACTTGGTGAAGAAAGATATGGACCAGCTATTGATATTTGGAGTTGTGGGTATGTTTTTCAGATCTTGTTTTTTATGTTTGATTTTAAAAAAGTAAATATTATTTTTCATAGATGTATTTTTGGTGAATTGTTTACTCGACGACCATTATTTCAAGCACAACGTGAAGATGAACAATTAGAAATGATTTCACGTTTATGTGGTTCACCAACACCAGCTGTTTGGCCTGATGTTATTCATTTGCCACTTTTTGCAACACTTAAACAACGAAAAACTTATCGGCGAAGATTGCGAGAAGAATATCAATAGTATGAAGTTTTATTTTTCAATAAAAACTTTTTCAGCTAGATATATACATATATATATTTCTTTTTTCAGTCTTCCTGAACCTGCATTAGATTTATTTGATCGTATGCTCGAATTAGATCCATCTAAAAGAATAAGTGCAAGTGATGCTCTACAATCAAATTGGCTTAAAGATATAAACGATGATACAATACGACCATTAGGGTAAATAATTTTTTATTTTATTTACATTTGCATATATTCTATATACATAATAAAAAAAAAACACTAACAAACTTTAGATTACCATTCGCACAAGATTGTCATGAAATGTGGAGTAAAGAGCATAAAAAATTAAGCCGTCGTGGTTGGAGTGAAAATGAAATTCAAGCACATTTTAAAGAACGTGAAATAATTGAATATCAACGATATAATCAAGTAACTGGTAAGATATAAAATAAAATAAAAAAAAAACATTTTCACTTTTTTCCTTTTCGACTTGATATAAATTGAACATGTTCAACAGGATAAAATTGAACAGATAAACGTTTTTTTAATGGTACTCTTGTTGAAATCGATCGTTTATGATTTTGACTAGATGATTTTTGTTTATGAATATTATCAAATAGAGTTTCTTTATCTTTATTTTTCTTTATATTTTTCGTAACCATATATTTTGTAAAACGATTTTTTATTGTTGGCTCATCATGATTATCATCATCGTCATCTTTTGCTATAATAGTTTTACTTTTATTTTGTTTCATTTTTCGATTTTGTTTGAGAGATTTTCTATAATGACTTCGATTAGATAAAGATTTAATTCGTTGTTTCTTCTTTATCATAGTACTTCAAACAGAACAAAAATATATATATATAATTACGGAAATTGCGCTAAGGAAAATTTTATTATTATTTTTTTTTTTCGTTGTCTGTCTAGACATGCAAATGGATAGTCCTGATCCAACAAATATAAATACTGAAAGGTACGTTATTTAAATTTATTACAAAAAAACATATTCATCATCATCATCATCATCAACGTTTTCAAGTTTTATATTCAATGAAATCAAATTTAATATGGAAAAATATGCATTAAGCATTTTCTATATTTTTTTTTGTTTTAAATAAATAAATGCGCTAATGATTTTGTTCTTTTTTTTTGTATTTAATTTGATTTTAGTTCAACACAAGATAATATTGTTGCTTATTCACAATCAATTGAAATGTTAAGTTCAACAACATCATCAATAAAAAATGAAAGAAGTATTGATAATAATAATAAATCAAAATAAAAAAACAAAATTCAAACATTATTTATTTCAAACTTCGATTATCTATTTATATTAATTACCGTTCGTGTTTTTCTTTTGTCAACAATTATACCATATATTTGTTTTTCACAAATCACGAAAAAAAGGAAGGAAAAATCAAGAAATATTTGGTTTGATATCGACGATGTCCATACCATTCACATTTGTCAATTTGAATAAAAAAAGAAAAAGAAAGAAAAAATTTGTGTATGTGCAAGTGTGTTTATTGTTTAGGCGTTTAATATCTTTGTCTATCTTCTTTTTTTTTTGTCTTTTCTTCTTCCTTTCTCTTTCTCTTTTTTCTGTGCTTTTTCTTTTGTCTTTTCAAATAGCTTTCAACATTGAATGAATCAGATCATCACACAAATACGACTGGATTAAAAATATGTAACAAGCAATTTTCATCTAGGACAGATGTTTTGCACAATAGAAGAGAAAAATAAGAACAAAATGGATTAAATTAGTGAAGAAAATAATGGGTAATGAAGAAATTTTGTAAATGAAATGATTTTCGGTATTTGTTTGAGTAATTTTCAAATGAAAAATTTATTGATTAAACAATATGTTGTTTCATATTTAAAAATGAATTAAATTCCAATTCATACTTTTTCTTTCAATGTTTGTACTAAATTAAACTGTATCCAATAATCGAACGTTATATGTGTGATGATCTGTTTCTATCATGTTGATTCGCTATATGTTCGCTTTTCAGATTTGGATTCATGACGATAATCTGCGTGTAATATACACCATCAAATTACAGAAGAAAATTTTCAACCATATTTTATTTCAAACTTAAAGTTAATTTTTCTATTATAAAAACAAAATCATTTTTTCCATTTCATATTTAAGTATCTTAGGTTTTTTCTCAGAAAAGCTCATCTTTCTTTCATTTACTTCTAGTGACATCTATCGATACGTATTCTACGTACAAAAATCTAACTAATGTTCTTTTTTTTTTCTTTCCTTTAGGCTGTTCACCAACAAAATCGATCATTTATCATTCATGGCATGGAAATCGTAACTCGCTCAAAAACATTAGTTTTTTTTTCTTTTTCTACTATCTCATAAAAATGTTCAGATATTTAATTCTGTATATCCGATTAATATTTTGTTTGTTTTCTATATTCTTCAATGAATGAATGAATGTATTTTGCGAAATTATCGCAAACAGAACAAAAAAAAAGTACACACATATATGACCAAGAAACCGGCACACAAAAGAAGAAATATACAACAACATCAAGAAGTAGGAATAATAAGAACAACAACAAAAAAAAGTATACAGAGTTCTCTAGAGTTTTTTTAGTGTGTGTCTGTTTCGATGAGAAAAAGAAAAAGGTTTTGCTGAATTTGCTTTTCTAATCGTGCCAAGAAAGAAAAAAAAAAGTAGATAGAATGAATATTTATGTACATCTGAAGATTATTCTTGTTCATCGTCATCATCTTCATCACCACTTTCATCGGCACCACTATCAGCCGATGCACCAGCTGCTACTTTTCGAGAATTTGGTTTATCAGCAGATGCTTTTGAATCTCCTAAAAAATATTTTTCAGTTAAAATTATTTTGTTTCTTTTTTTCTCTATTAATATAATTACCTTCATCATCTTCACCATTTTCTCCATCATCTTCTTCATCAAAATCTTCATCCGAACCCTCTTCGTCTTCATAATCACCCGCTTCCCGATCTTCACCAGCTACCTACAAAGCCACAAAAAATTGTTTTTTTTTCGAACAAAACAATTATTCTTTTTAACATACATCATCATCATCATCTTCCTCATCATGATAATCGCCATTTTTAAGATTCGATGAATCATCATTAACTACCGTAGGTGCTTCACCATTAGTACCATTTGTTGCTTTTAATGCTTTCAATTTACTTGGACTAACATCATCCAATTCAGCTTCACGTTTTGTACCTATGAAAAATAAAAGTACATTTAGTAGCTTTTTTCTTTCTTATGTAAGAAATAAAAATAGAAACTTATTTTTACCCTTGGTGGCAGTAGCTGTCGGCGAAGACAATGCATCAGTTGAATCGGCCATTGATAAAGTTTAGTTGGTTGATAAGAACGCAGTAGTAGTGAATGCAATGATAGATGGAAGAATCAAATCAACATAAGACCCACACAGAGAAAAAGAGAGAATATGACAAGCAGCTATTTCTTCTTCTTTCTCGCGTTCGTTCTCTCTTCTTTAGTTTACTTGCAGCGATTGCCGAGTAGTACGTGTACGTCGTCGTCTGTCTTCGCTGTGTTCGCTGTTTTTATATAGAACTATGTGTGTGTCCTTTCACTGCTGCCGCTCTTTGGCATATATATATATATATATAGACATAGTCATATAGCATAATGAAAGAGAAAAGAAGAAAGAAGCTTCGCTCTCTTCATCATCTTTTTTCCACCAATCCATCTTTCTTTCGGGCTAGTCAACAACGAAGACGGCGCCGCTGCATTACACCGCCGTAAATAGAGGACATTGCAAATGCGTGTGCACGATGCACACCACTCTACAAACCGAAACAATAGTTTCTTTCTTATTATTCGAGAGAAAGAAGAGAAAACGACATCGGCGACGAGGGCAACGACCATATTGGCAATTCAATAGCGGCAGTGCAAGCGAACAAACTTAATGCTATTTTGTTTCGCTAACAGAAAGAAAAAAGAAAACAGATAAAAACTGGAAAGCAATCTTTTCTCTTTATATTGAACAAGAAAGGAAAAATAGAATCTTTCTTACTTTTTTTTATTATGTTATCTATGTTAAAAAACAAAGCCTTCAGATCTGATTTATATTTAGTATATCATTAAATTTAATTGACTTTTTTTTGTTTCCACTCAGCAAAATTTCTCTCATTAGATTTAAGCTGTTCTTTTTTTTCTTTCCATGACAAATTCATCTTCGTTGAAATTAGACACATATTTTGTTAGATTAAATAAGATCAATGTCAGTAGTGATCAAAATTATTATTATTCATGTCAAAATATGAAAGAACAAAGAAAAAACAAATACGAAATTAAAACATTAATATTAAAGCTTTCAATCCGTATTCGACTGTTGTTTTTGTCTCATTCGAAATAATAATTTTGTAATGTTTAACATATTCTAATGTATACTAGCCTTTCAAAATATTTTCTTTTCCTTTTCGTTTTCAAGTCAAATTCAATTTGAGTTAGACGATTATTTTCTATCAATATCAAACAGAATTTTTATTGAATAACATGCAAAAAATTATAGTTAGAGAATGAGCAAGTGTCAAAGGAAAGTCATTTCAAAGAATGACAAGAAAGTAATACGATCAGTTAAATACTAGATGAACTGTAGCTTGTGTGAAAATATTAGCCAATGAAATTTTTCTAGAGAAGCCTCGATTCATTCAATAATTTCCGCAGTGTTTTTTTTGTTTGTTCTCTTTTAAAGAATGATGATGAGAATGATTCATAAGTATATAGGTTGATGTTTGCACAAAGAGAAAAATAATAAAACGCAAGAGGCATTATCTAATATTCGCAACTATTTTTCTTTCTGTCTAAGAATGTAAATGATGTGTTTCTTTTAATATAAATGAAACATAACGACCGGAAATAAAAGAAAATAACATAATTTAATGATGGCATACAAAGTGTTAAAAGTAAATCTAGAACAAGTGTTTTATTAAGAATAAACTTCATAGTTATTGAAGAAATTATTTTTTTACTCAATTTGCATTCAAATATGATTTAGTTCAATTATGGTTTTTGTAAATATTTTTCAATAAATTTTACTATAAAAATTAATTATATCTAGTATGTTAAATTTAAAAAGTTTTGTGTGAGATTTTAATCATGACAACAATATACTTACAATTGATTGCCTGATTTTAGATCGGCTTATCTTGTAATATTATATCTAAGACTTATGATTTAGTATATATATATATATAGTAAATATAGAGATAATGTGCATTCTGAGATTTTTATAAATATTACATGTTGTTTATATTTTGAAGCAAAAAAGAACTATGCACGATAGACATAGAATTATTTTACTTGGTTCTTGGACGTCGCGTGAAATTTATTAATGATGATGTTGAACTATTACTCAATGTGTTATTAGTATTTTTATTGATTGATACAGTGATATTGTTTGTTGATGATCGCACTGGAACACGAAAAGTACTAAAAAGATTACTAAAAAGTGATGTTAACAATGATGGTGCTTGATTTTCAAGAACATTAATAATTTTTTTGCCAACATTGGGATTAAATATTTCCTTAAGACTTGTTGCCATAATTTGACCAATAATAGCACCTAGACGATCTAATGGAAGAATTGAAAGAATTGTTCCAATTGTATTAAGATCAGATGTTGTATTTTTATATAGATATTCACGACGAGAACGTCGTTCATGATATCGACCATAATAAACAAATGGTTTTGGTGGAATAGCTTCAGTTATATTTTCTATTA